ACAACAGAATCTTGCTTTGAGGGCTGGTGTTTGGTGTTTGTGTTTCTGAGACTCTTTTAGCTGTTTGGATTCTGAGAGCCCTAGAAGTGAAAGTAGTGTATGCAGCAGAATCTTGTTTTGAGGGTTGTTGTTTTGTGTTTGTTTCTAAGAATCTTTTAACTGTTTGGATTCTGAGAGCCCTAGAAGTGAAAGTAGTGTATGCATTCCCAGTTTGTCCTTAGTTGGACTGCACTTGTGCCTGGAGATTAATACTTGCATCTCATCAGGATTGAGGTGGGTGTTGAACTTCCCATGAAAGCAGTGATAGCTGTTGTTCAGCAGAAGGATGAAAGGAGGGGCAGGACACGTTAAGGAAAAAACTTGCCCAAATCTTGTAACTTGTGCACTGATTTATTTCAGAAATAACTTGTCACAGTCCAGTGGCTTTAGCAATGGAAAGTGAAGATATGTTGAAAGTACTGAAACTGCTGCATGACCTGGGGCCATGGGATGACAGCCCACTGTTGCTGGCACATGCTCAAAGGTTTGTACTCCCAATCTTCTGAACTTCCTGGCAGGAAATTGCTTCACTTGCCATGTCACCAAGATTCCTGGACTCTATCACCTTTCAGTACTATCTTGAACTTGCAGAACATCTTGAAAATAATATTTTGCTGTTTGGTACTTAAAATAGTTTTTATTCTCTGTTTCTCCAGGCTTTATGAAAAATTTGGGGAAACAGCTCTTCGGCCATTGATCAAGTTCCACCCCTCTATTTTGCCCTCTGATATTAAACAGCTTTGCAGGAATGATCCGGCTCACTTTTTGGCATATTTAGATAGTCTGGTGAAATCAAAGCCAGAGGATAAAAGGTGAGGGAAATGTTTTCATCTGTCTGCTCTCTTAATTGTGTAGCTGTGTGGAGATTCTTTTTGTTTTGGCTTTTGGGGACGTATTTTTGTGTTTCTGTATCTGTCTGCTTGGTTTTCTTAAGCATTAGGTTCCAAGTAATTCTGCCAGTTGTAGCTGGCCCTAGACTGGAGTTTTTGTTAGGTTTGTATCTAGTTTAAAAGGGATTTCCTAAATAATACCTCTAATAGAATTGATTTTTTTTGTTTCTGTGTCTGCAGTTCAGTGTACCAGGGTTAGATGGCATTTAAAAAGACTCCAAGCAAAAAAAAAAAAAAAACCCCAAAAAAACCCCCAAAAAAAAAAAAAAAAAAAACCCAAAAAAACCCCACAAACAAAAAAAACCCCACCCAAAACCACAAAAACTCAAAATCAAAAAAAAAAACCCAACCAAATCTGTGGGAACTCAACCTGCAAACTTGATTTTCTGTGGTTGCCGCAGTTTATAGAGACCTAAATAATTTTGGGCTTTTCCACATTTAATTTTACACCCCCCTTTTTTTTTTTTTAGGTTAATTTGTCCACACACAATCTCTCCTTCTCCGTTTATGCTTTATTTAAAACTGGTAGGATTTTTTTTTAGTGTCTGCTTTGTTTTCCAGGCCATTTCTCCTGAGGTCTCTTCTGCAGCCGGAATCTGTGCGGTTGGATTGGTTGTGCTTGGCAGTTTCTCATGATGCTCCACAAAGGGCAAACACTGTGGATGAGGAAGGAAATCCCAGGTAAAGTGGTTTTCATTCAGGGTCCTGAGTGCAGCAGAAAGACTTAACAGGTCTGGTTTTGGGTTAGATTTTGTGTGAAAGTTTGGATCACTGACTCCTGGGAGCATTTTGCAGTGTTCGATAGAAACAACCAAAGGATTGAATAACTTTTATTTGCAATGCCTTCCAGAGTGACTGCTCTACTGAGACTGCACATGGTGTTTCATTCATTTCTCCTCCTCTCTTTTCATAAATCTGCCATGATGTTCTGAAGAAAATCAATAATGCTTTAAAACTGAGTTTCTCATCTTCTAGGCCACGATCGCATTTGTTTACTTGGGGCTACAGCCAGCTCATTCTGCTCTTGATTAAACTCCCAGCTGATTTTGTTATGAAAGAGAAGATGGCTGACATCTGTAAATCACATGGGTAAGGAAAAAGCTTGGCAATTCTAGATACTTGCTTAGTAGGTATTCTTCTGAGAAGATACAAATGTAAATGACCTATCTGCTTTTTGTTTGGACAGAGGTTTTTTTAAAAACCTTTCCTTTTTTGAGGGTGAATATTCAATGTCCAAATTAATGTACCAAATGGGAGGTATTCCTCGTGTCCCTACTCTCTTTCTGGCATTCATTAAATTTAGTTGCTTTTGTCTTTACTGATACTTAAATGAGCATGTGATTGTTCTTGACTTCGGTTTGAACTGAGTATTTGATTCCTAGAAATCTTTACTCTCTTATTCAAGATTTTGGCCTGGATATCTTTTTCTCTGTCTGGAGCTGGATAGAAGAATAGAAGCCTTTACTAATATTGTTCATTTGGATGATTTGAGCCTGTTGAATGGAGAAGATGGTTAGTGATTCTTAAGCTGTACATAACATACTTCTGTAATGTAGAACTGCCCTCATACAGCAGTTTGCCCAAAGCTGAATAGAACTTTGATATTTTGAAGTGTTTTTGTAGCCCTGACTGTGTGTAGTACAGCATATTTGAAACACATAAATGGGTGTTATACTCTTGTATCTTCATGCTGTGCTTTGTGAAATCAGTTATGCTAGAAAACGCTTAAAAGTTAAAGAATCTTGATTTGTTTATTAGTAAAAGCTGGGAGTAAAAGTTAACCTTGGTGTTGTAGACAGAAGAGTAGGAAACCTTCCTGCACAGCACAAAACTCCCTCACTACATGTGCAGACAACCAAAGGTAGGGTGAGCAAAGAATTGTACCATAAGGCAGAACTTATAAGATTATTCACTCTGGCCCTAAGGTGGACAAAACTTTGTCTCTTGACTTAATCCAAAGCCTTGAATACTGAACTATTGTGAGGCTATGTGTGTTCACCACTAATTTACACTGAGTCAGTCAGTCTGGGCAGTACATTGCTGTGCATAATTTGCTTGTTGATAATGCTTAGATTCCTAAAATCTTGAGAGTAAAACAGAATAGCTAGCTTCCCTTTCAAGTACAGATATAGTTTAAATAGTAGTCTTAGAATAATCTTCGTTTTCCAAATAATGTTAACAAACTCATTTTACATCTAGGTTCCATTCCAGAGACTATAGAAGAATGGAAGTTTGTTCTGCATCTTGCACAGAATCACAGCACAGCTTCCCACCAGCACAGCCCACAGAATGGGAATGCTGTCAGCAATGGAGGCCCTAGCTGCCCAGACTGCATCACTGTGGAAAACGTTGCTCTGTTGCTGGCCAAGGCCATTGGCCCAAATCGTGCCTTGCCTCTCTTGCAGGAGTGTGGCTTGACACTAGAATTGTCTGAGAGGTTTACTGGTGTCTGTGAGATACTGAGAGTCGCTGAGAAAAGGCAGAGGTAAGAGATGTCAGCAGGAGACCCACACTATTCTTTGTGGATCTCCTCCATGCTTTAAATTTCCTTTTTGGTTTACAAGAAGATACAGTGCTTCACATTTTTACCTTTGGTTTTAGACTCATCTGAAAGTTTTTCTTATTATTTAAGAACTGTGTATTTTGCAATGTAGGCATTTTAAAATTGAAAATGAGGAAACAGGAAATCATACATTAAAGGTGTATGTGAAGGAGATTCTGTGAAAGAGATCTGTCCTGGTAAGACCTGTACAGACTCTGATCTCTCCTTTTCCTTTCAGAGGTGTGAATGGTGATGTCAGAATGTTATTTCTGAAATGAAATAATGTTTTTTACAAACTTCTCTTTAAAAAGCAAACCAAAGCTCTGTTGTTCTTTCTGTTGTTAGCTTTTTTACTGTTTGACTTTGTTTTGTCCCCTTTGCTTTATTTGCAGAGCGCTGATTCAGTCCATGTTGGAAAGGTGTGACCGGTTTTTGTGGTCTCAGCAAGCATAGAAAGCAGCTTGGGAGAACTCTGGGAACAGTTTATACTGTAATGACTGTATATTCAAGTGCCTCTTAGATTTCACAGGCCCTTAAAAATAACCAACTCCTGTCTGAAAGTTCAGTTATACTGAGCCAGTCTCCATCTGGCAGGTATCTGACCTGGAAGTAATTTCTTCCTTATTCCTTTGGAGAAGACTTTTGAACTGTAGAATATAGATCAAAACAAGCCAGTATTTATATTGAAATTAAGCTCATAGATTTCCAAGATGAAAATTGCTGAATTTATTTTCTGAGTCTATAACTTAAGTGTTCAGGGATATGAGTCCCTAAGTATTAAATTATGGTGTATAATTTTTTTTTGTTTCTTTGTTTGCAAACATGAGAAACCATTCCTGGGAAGTATCTAAGTCTATACTTGTTTAACTTTCCTGTAAATGACATTTACCTTTACTTTTGCTGTAGATGTCTCTCTTATGGTACCTGTTGGTGTTTTTCCCTTCTTAAATTATATGAACAGGCCTTGCCTATTTGAAATACATTAACCAAGCCAAGTCTCAAAATGGGAGGGAAATATTTCTGAGTAGAGTATTTATGGCTAAAAATGCTGATTAACAGACAAACTTGTTAAATGAACTCGCTGTTAAACTACAAGCACAATATTTCTAAATTGCCCATACCTATTTGTGCACTGTGACCATAGACATCAGTTGTGATACTCCAGCAGACCTCGGGACAGTGGATTAGAATCAGAGTCATTTAAGTTGGAAAAGACCCTGAAGATCCAACCCTTTAACCATTAGCCTAGCACTGCCAAATCCACCACTGAGCCATGTCCCAAAGTGACACTTCTACATGGCTTCTCAATGCCTCCAGGGATGGTGATTCCACCCCTTCCCTGGACAGCCTGTTCCAGTACTGGACAATGCTTTTGGTGAAGAAATGTTTCCTGATATCCAATCAAAAGTTGTCCTGGAGCAACTTGTGGCCATTTCTTCTTGTACTATCCCTTGTTATCTGGGAAAAGGAAACCCACTCCCACCTGGCTACAGCCTCCTTTCAGGCAGCTGCAGAGAGTGGTGACTTTTTTGGTTGGTGAACAGTCTACGTGTCCAAGCCATGAGCAGCCCATTTCTCCAGGAGAACGCTGTGGGAAACAGTGTAAAAAGGTTTTCTTGAAGTCCAGGTCAACTTTGGTAATTCCACAATTAATTCTTACATTTTGGAAAGTGAGAGGACTTATTTTAATAATATTTTTAAAAGCTGAAGGTTTACATAAGTATTTTTAGATGAATGCTGTCAAGAAAGAAGTTTTTTTATGTATCTGGTTGAATATGAAGATTCACAAAATCACTTGGATTTTATATCTCGTTTACATAACTATGCTTTGTACTAGCACTCTTTCTGCATTTAATACATCTTTGAATGAGTTTCTTTTTAGGCTTCTAGTTTTGATCCCCTTCATTATCTGACTCACATTTTAAGCAAAAAGCCACATCATCTGGTCAATATTCAGTTTTCACAAATATCATTTAAAATAAAAAAGTAATGCATTAATTAAAACTAAATTAAGATTTCATAATTTTGTTATAAAATGATGTGAAAATACTGCTTTATAAGGAATCTTATGTAAACTTGCAGCACTTGTATTGCTGTAAAATAATGCTTTTAATCAAAATAGGACTGAGTACAATGTTTGGCCTTTTGAGAGATACAGTATGCAGACTGTTTCATCTTGTCTGCAAGAAAAACTTGGGTGTGGTGGGTTGGTTACTTCACACGGGGAAGACAAATTCCAGGGCAACAACGAATGTCAGGTTTCCAGCCAGAGTGTTGCTTGTGGAAAAGCCAATACAGAACTATTTCTAAAAAAGAAAACTTCAAAGCTTCTGGGGTTTACATACTGCCATTGGAAATAGAAGGATCTGTGCCATCAGGAATACCCCATGCTCTCACAGTATGGCTTGGAATGGGAGCCAGGCACCCACCAGATGGTGTTGGTGCCTGTTCTGTTCCCTGCCAGATGAGCTGCTGCTGCCTCAGGGGCTGCCACAGTTACCTACCTCGGGTTCATGCAGTGTGTGGTGTAGCTGAGTGCTCCCCTTGCCTTCCTCAGAGGAATTCCTGGATTTGTGAGAACGTGCCTGGCTCTGTATGGTTCCACTCTATTTGCTTGGTGTGTTTTGTGTACACATCAGTCTCTTACTTCTGTGGGGGTTTTGTACACTTGGTTAACTTTGAGGGTTGGGGCCTTTTTTTTTTGTTTTACAGTAAATCATAATTCCAGTGTGAACATTTTTTAAAAAAATGTCAGAAGGGTCATACAGATAACATCATGGGTTGTGTGTGTTCAGATTTTGTGTCTAAAGTGAGCTTGTGTTTATAATTCCAACTAACTTGGCTGTCAATAAAGAGTGAGAATGTACTCTCTGAAGAAGTGGTGAAAATTAATATTTCCTATTCTGAATGAGTTTGTTTTCATCTCATATGGGTAGGGTGAAGGGACTGAAATGAGAGGGTCTTTTGTTCAGAAATTACTGAAGCAGAAACTGCCTCAGTTGCACAGAGCAAGGCTCCTGTCAGCCAGCTGAGCACACATCACTGACAGCTCAGCCAGCCTCATGGGGAAGGTGAGCTGCAGCTCAGCTTTGGTTTTTGTGGGTGAATGATGGTGAGAGAGACCCTTGAGAAGTAGAGATGAATAAAGGGGGCTTAGCCTAGAGCAGCTTTAAGGAGAAACTGCTGGTTCTATTTTCTTTTTGCCAAAGAAAAAAGTATGCATTATTTCACAATTAGAAATCTATGGGTAAATAAATTTTACTTCAGGTAAATACCTGCATTTTAAACCTGCTTCTTGAAAGGAGACAAGTTTCCAGTCATTCTCCACGTCTATAAGCCCAACGTCACTGGTGGTGTAATAGTCAATACTTGGCAAAACTCTTGAAATGAATTATTGCACACGTAAACAAAAAAAAGGTACTGTTTTTTCCCAGATTAAGAAATAACTGCAGATATTACTGTGCCTGAGCTGGGAATTCACCTCATCCCCTTTCTCAGTCTGATTTTCTCAGATTGCAAAATTGTGGAATGCTTGTGGAACATAGTTTGCATTCATAAATATTTACAGTTACAGGGCAACCAGCATGGTTTATCTTAACTTGCATCAGAATGTGCAAACCGATAAATGGTCTCCAGGCCCCCTCAATGTGTTGTGTTCCCCAGTGTGCACGTGCTGCCAGTGTTTCTTGCTGGGCCAGGAAGAAGTGCTGTGTTCAAACCCTCCTCCACACTTGGAGGCAGCTTTGCCTCTTTCTATTGCAAAAGCAGCAGTGTTGGCTGCAGCTCATTTCTGTGAGCCAAGGGTCATGACCTGGAGTGCAGGACAAGAGAATAGGGGAAAGCAGGGCTCAGGCTGTTCCCTGCTGGAGCCCCGAGCTGCAGCTTCATCTCAGCTCCAGCATTGTTGTCACTGCTGCTGTCCTTGCTGGACACCAGGGGATGCACTCTGAGTTCTAAAGAATCCCTCCAGCACCTGCCTTCTTGCAATTCTCCTTATGTTTTGCAGAAATGGATTTTTTGTCATCCTTGTCCTTCATGTTTTGCAGAAATGTTGGTTTGGAGAGAATGTAAAACAGTGTAAGACTCAAATTATCCTCTATGGTCCAGAGTGTGTGAGTTCTTGTAGGGAAAGGTCTCCTTAGGTCAGTTTTGAAGGCAATGCTTTGTTCTAAGTCCCTGGGCAAAGTGCCACATGCCTGTACCGCAACTTACATGAGTAATTTTCCTTGTGTTTTAAAAACCAAAAGGTGATGGCCAGGGCTGTTTGCAGCCAGCAGAGAAGGCACTGGAGCTGCCACGTACTGCAAGGATGTGGGTCATCAGGGTGTGAACAGGGCTGTAGCAAAGTACAGCACTCCACTCCCTGCAGTAGCTGAGCTGTTAACACTGTGGAGTATCCAATTCAGGAGTGCCAGGGGACAAAAATCTATGTCCTTGTCCATTTGGTTCTGGTTTAGATCTTGTTGCAAATTGTTCCATTCTGAGATACATCATGCTAGAGTATGTGTCCTGCTGCTCCAGTTTATGGAAAAAGTCTCCTTTCCCCTTAAGCTCATTTTTTTTTTGTCTGAAGTCCAGTGACACCCAAGTTCCTGTTGGCACTTTATTAGCTTTTTTGCACCTCTTTCAACTCATGCCTCTGCCCTGAAGCTCCAGGAGCAAATTGTTTACAGTCACAGAGTTGTGAGTGGGGCAGCTACCCTTAACTCTTCAGAGGGGAACCTGAAGTGCTCTCCTAGACTTGCCAAATCATGTACAAGGCCACACAATGGGGACACCCTGCACACTCACTCTCGAGTGCAACTGCACTCAGCCCTGGAGTTTTCTTCAGAGGAAAGGGTTGTGTCAAGTTGTTAACCGAGGGAAGTGAGCAAGCTTTAAGCAGGGGGAGCACAGTGCTACTTAAACAGTGAACCATGCCAATAGGGCCAGACAGGTGATTTAAAATCTAGCAGAACTGTGGCTGTATGGATCTGAATTTCCCCTGAAGTAAAATGTTTACTGCAGTGTCCAAAACTTTCCACTTGAGCCCCATGGAGTTGCTGTTACAGCAGGGTGGCTGGAGACCCTTGAGAGGGGCCTGTGAGAGCAAGCCAAGGCAAAATGAACCATTCAGAGCCTCTTAATTGTCTGTGTGTCTGTGCTATCTTACAGCATGATCAGCAGGGATGTAGGTGTATGTGCTTTGCTTTGCAATGGACTTAAGAGCAACACTTCATATTTTCCATTTCATTAACTCTGGAATTCATCTGGCAATCCCAGCACACATGGGAATTTCATTTAGCAGTTCCTGCAGCCCTTCTGGCAATGCAGCTTATTGTTCCTTTTGCACAGACACAGACCTGGCCTTGTGTTCCAATGTGCAGACTGTCAGGCACCTTCCCCTCTGAACTCTGTTCAGTCTAAGATCCAAACAAAAGTATCACCCTTAAGATAGCAGTAACACTTCAAGCACATGGAACTCTTCAGCCTTTAAGGCAGTTTTCAGTTTGGTTGTTATGAGGAGAAAATAGTCCCAAGGACAGCTGAAGAAGTACCATATACCCTCTAAAAGATTGCATAACAGGAGCTGTGGACTTTCAGTAAGGACAAGGACAGGTTTCCAGTAATGATTTCTGTGTTTGAAATGCTAGTGGGGATTTCCCAGCCATGGGTATCCTTTCCAGTTTCCTCTTTTGAGGGGTTTGAATTGCTTATAAATACCCTCTTTGAGAGCACACGAGACTATCTCCAGCTCCTTTGACTTTGCTGTTCTGCAGTGGTGAGTGACATTCTGAATTTGTGAGCTGTGTGCAGTGTTTTGAGCTGGTATTTTGGGAGCGGGACTAATGCTTCAGCATGTGGGGCTTCTTTGTACTCATGACAGGAGCAGCAGGGAGTGCTAAAATGCAGGCTTCTCATGTGCACCTGCTTTAGTGCTCATGTGCACAAGCTTTTTGGAGCTTGTGGTTGCACAGAGGGCACTGCTCCTGGCAGGGGGAGAAGGGGATCCTTGGCGAGCCCTCATCACTGAGGCAGCAGCCCAGGCACAGCTGGGGGTGTGGTGGGTTCTCAGTGGTGCTCCAGAACTGCTCATCTCTCTCACTGTCTCCCAGCTCCCTGTCAGGCTTGGCCAGGAACCATGAGGCTCTGGGTCTGCATCGCGTTGCTCTCTGTTGTTCTGTGTGTCAGTGCTGACAGACCAAGGATAGTCCAAGGAATGGTCCGGGCTGGACAATTTGTCCGGGATGCAGCGGGAGGTAAGCTGCTCTTACCAGGGGCCCTTCCTTCAGGACCCCCTCCCCAAGCACGAGCCAGCAGTCAATGGTGCAGCCCTCAGAGCTGGGAAATCCTCAGCTCCACGTTAGAGATGCCCTGGTTTCTGCTGCTGGATGAGGGCCTTGATCAGCCCCACAGGTGCCTTCTGTGGGCACAGCCCTGTGCAAAGGCTGATGTGGGGCAATGCCTCACTCTGTTTCTGCTCCTTGAGCCTTCCAGCTCCTGACGGAGGTGGTACTGAACTATTTCTGGTGCGACTCTTTCAAGTCAACATCATCTCCATTCCTCTGCCTTCTTCAGGTACATGGGATATGTTCAGAGCATATAGAGACATGCGCGAGGCAAATTACAAAGGTGCCGACAAGTATTTCCATGCCCGTGGGAATTATGATGCTGCCCGGCGAGGACCTGGTGGTGCTTGGGCAGCGAGAGTGATCAGGTAATGGAGTGTGCTTGGCTTGTTAACAGTGAGTTATTAGGGATCCAGGCATTCCAGCTGGAGCGAGGTCCTTTTTGACTTGTACTCAGCTTAGTACCTAGAGGGACAGCAGAGGGGAGGGAAAGTAGTTCCCATCTGGACAGCCAGTCTCTATAGCAATGGTGCCACTTGAGCATGAGCCTTTCTTCTTGTCGGCCCGAGAAGGCAGATTCCTCTCTGCATTTCTGATAAGGAACTCTCCATTGCTGGTTCATTTCCCAACATAACAGATATAGATTCCACCGCGGCCTCTCAGACAAAAGCCGAGCATGTGCTTGCATCTCACCTTGAGAAGCCCTAGGGAAAAGCAGTTTCACATGAGTGAGGGAACCAACACAAGGCTGAGTTAGATGCAGTCTGCTCAGGTGGCCTTTTCTCCTTCCCCGCAGCGACGCCCGGGAGGGCTGGCAGAGCAGCGTGAGCGGCAGAGGCGCCGAGGACACCCGCTTGGACCAGGAGGCGAACGCGTGGGGCCGGAGCGGCGGCAACCCGAACCGCTACCGGCCCAAGGGGCTGCCCAGCAAGTACTAGCGCTGTGCTCCGCTCCTGTCACACCTCCCTGTGTACAGCCAATAAAGGAATCCTCCTGAGAACCGTTCCCTTCGTTGCGAGCATCCATCCTCCCGGGGCGCGGCACTGCGGGGCGGGGGCGGCGGTGTCGGGGCATCGCGGGGGCTGCCAAAGGTGCTCCGAGAGCGCGGGTGCCGCTCCCCGCCGAGGGAAGGCCCTGGGCGGGCGGGTGGGTCTCGGCACTATCCAGTCACGGTCCCGGTGCGATCCCAGCACGGTCCCGGTGTGATCCCAGCACGGTCCCGGTGTGATCCCAGCGCAGTCCCGGTGCGGTCCCGGCGCAGGCCCGGGCGCCGGAGGCGGCAATGGCCGCCGGTGGGCAGGGGGCGCTGTGGGGCCTCGGGCGCCGCTCCGGCCGCGCCGCCGCCTCGCTGCCCCCGCACGGCTGAGGGGCCACCATGGACCGCAATCCGTCGCCGCCGTGCAGCGATGCGGAGGAGGAGGAGGGGGACGCGGTGGGCAACACGGTGTACAGCAAGCACTGGCTCTTCAGCGTCCTCACCCGCCTCATCGAGGTGCGTGGCCGCTGGGAGGAAGCGGGCGGCGGGCCCGGCGTCGGTCAGCGCCGGGTGGATGCGACGCGATCGCTGCCCGGGCCGGGGGAGACACCCGGGGACAAACCCGGGACACAGCTGGGATTCACAGTGCACAAATCCGGCGGCCGGGAGGGGACACAGTGGGAAAACGCCTGGCGGGGACCCAGCGGGTGCCGGGGGTTCAGCCGGGTCGTTCTCCCCCGCCCCGCCTGCCGCAGGTGATCGCCCCCGCGGAGCCGGACCCCGCCGCCAGCCCCGAGGGAGCCCGGACGGAGCTGGACGAGGAGATGGAGAATGACATTTGCAAGGTGTGGGACATGTCGATGGACGAGGTAGGAGCCTTGTGCGGCACCTCGGGGCGCCTCTGCCCCGAGCGTCCCGTCAGAACAGTGGGAGAAGGCAGGGAATCGGCTCGCTCGTTCTGCTGGTGCTGCTCCCGCCCGGGTGTGGCGGGCAGCGTGCGGCAGGACAGCTGGGCTGGGGCGGCTCCAAGCGGCCTCACCGCGGAACCTGCCCTGGAAAGAGGAGCAGGGGCAGGACAGCAGCTGGAATTAACTCGGGTGCGCTGCCTGTGCCTTCCTCACTTGGATTATGGGGATAGTATTGATGCCGTCTCTAAACAGGCATATTTTCCTCTAGCAATTGTCATACGTCCTGATGGTAAGCATAGCTTTCTCTGATAGATAAACAGCCAAAGCTAAACTTTCAAAGTTTAGCTGAAGACTTGCAGTGGCAATGTAGCACAGCTTCCTAGTATTTTTCTGAGCATTCTCAAATGCTGGAACAAATTCTTTATATATATATATATTTTTTTTTTTAAAGTCAACATGGAACATGGGTCTTTTATTCTCAAACAGACAAATAATCTTGTGTTTTAATGTGGTAAAATGAGGAAGAGATTTCTTCTTGTGTGTTCTGATCAAGTGCTAATGGCAGTCCCTTCACTTGCTTCTTTTTTATATGTCATGGTGATGTCATGCCTTAAAACATGATATTTACTGAATTCTGGTTGAGTGTCTGTTTCTCTTCAGATAGGGTTCAATTTGCATTTTCTTGCAAATGTGACTTTTTGGCTCATTTTACAGCAAATCACTGGCATACTGACACACCAGAGGGGCTTGCTGGCCTTCTCTCATTGGAAAACAAGGATTATTGGTATTAACTGTTGGCAAATAACAAATTCCTTGTAGTGAGTTTGTCATCTCTTTGATCCAGTCCTTGTGCTGTGGGAGCACGTTTGATTTTGCATTTGGAAATTGCTGAGGTCCATTCACCTCTCCATTCACTTTCTCCACAGGATGTTGCTTTATTTCTTCAGGAGTTCAATGCCCCTGATATATTCATGGGAGTTTTTGCCAAGTCCAAATGCCCTCGCCTAACTGTAAGTATGGGCTGTCAGAAAGCTCTCCTGTGTTAGTAGCAACAGCAGATAGCTCTGTGCATGCATTTACATTTATCCCCATTGCACGTGTAGTGTATAAGGAGAACCAGGAGAAAAGACAGAATCAAGTTTTAAGATGCTTTGTCACTCTGTTTTTAACGTGCTCTGATCAGTAAGAATTTTGGTGGTGCTGAAGCTGGTACATGTCTGCTCACAGATCCTCACGTAATACACTGAAGAAGGACTGAGTTTATCAAACATAGTTGTAAGACCTGTTATGAAACCCAGCAGTCTGGTCTTTTTTTCCTTTTGACTTGTTTCATGATTACTGAACAGAAATGGTCATGAATTTGTTTAGTCAGACCTGCAGAAGTGTGGCTGGAGGCCATGTGCCCACCAAAGCTGCTCTGTCACTCCCCTCAGCTGGGCAGGGGAGAGAAAATGCAACAAAAGGCTCTTGGGTCAAGATAAGGGCAGGAGGAGATCACTCACCAGTGGCTGTGATTTGTCATGGGCAAAACAGACTGCACCTGGGGAAATTAATTTATTACTGATCAAATCAGAACAAGATAATGAGAAATAAACAAAAGATTACAGTAAGTAATTTTTGGAATTATTAAGACCAACAGTTTATTTTTTTTCTTTTTAATTTTCCACTTGTTTTGATGTCACTGATTTCCAGCTTGTACTACACAGTGCACTGCAAATCTCAAAATAGGATTTTCAAAGGTATTCAGTGTTGATGTAAAGCCTCTTTCTCAGAAGTTACCAGATGCTTTACTCCAGGAGATCAGTAGAGACAAATAGAGCTTTGAAAGTTTAGTACTTTGTCTTTGGAAAGTACATCCCCAATTTGCAAGTGAGTGCAAATTGGCTGTCACAGCTGCTATCATAAAACAGTGTGTGCTGGAGTGCCTGCTGTCATTTAGCAGAGGTTGTAGCATGTTCATAATTAAGAAGACAGCCTTAGTGGAGAGAGTTGATTTCTGACTTTAAATTGCTGCAGGCTAATGACTCACTTTGTTTTAGCACCAGTCACCTGCAGGTGTTTCAGAGCTCTCATGGTCCCCTTTACACAAGTGTGCATCCTCTTAATATTGCCTTGGCATGAATATCCTAATGGGGTGCACTGCTTTGGGCTTTGTTTTCTATTTTATTTTATTTTAGATCTCTTTAATCAGAAAATGGGCTTTGGTGGAAGCTTGTATTAAGATCCCTTTCTTTTGTGAGCAAGTGAATATCATGAGTATCACATTTATGTAGTGATATTTTTGGTTTAGGACTCCTTTTTGCTTTAATAACAGGGCTGTCAAATTAGCTTCAAAACAGTATACAAAAATATGCAAGCAGAGCTGATTTCAAGATACATTTGCTTTTATGGAGCACCTAAATATCTGCATAGTACCTGAGTGTATTTTAGGCTAGTCTGATAGAACAGAAAAATCTGTATGGAATCTGTGGAAAAAAATTGTATCTTGTCATGAAATCAGCGGGTCATACAAGCTTGGAAGTCAAACTAGAAAACATCTTTGAACCTCTCTTACTTTTGTCTTATGGCTCTGGAAGTGAAATTGTGGACTTGCAGTTGTCTCATTATACTGTGTTTTGGCTTTCCAGGAAATCTGTGTGGGAATACTAGGGAATATGGCCTGCTTCCAGGACATCTGCATGTCCATTAGCAAAGATGAGAATCTTGGGTAAGTGTCTGTGCTTTGTACATGAACAGATACTGCTTGTCTGGACTCACAGTCAGGAAATTCATGTTGGAGAAGGATCTAAACCTGCCTGCCCAGCCTTATCTTCATTCATAATTTTTGACTGGCCATGTTTGTGTGGAAAGTGCTCAGGAAAGGAAGAAAGGACACAGACCACTATTTTTGGGGATTTTAACCACCAGTCAACTTAGTTTTTAAGTTTGGTGGTCTTGACACACTGGAAGTGCATGCACAGTTAGGAAGAGCTGGCTTTAATCTCAGAACATGGCTGCAGTTATGAAATTAGTCTTTGAATACCTTTTTTAGAAATAAAGATGGATTTTATTAACTTTTTCCCCCCTGAATTTTCTCCTTAAAGTCAAGTGTTACTGCAGCGTTTGTGTGATTCGGACTCCCCAACTCTTCTGGAAACAAGCAGGTAGGACATCTCAGAAATTAATGCATCCTTAGTGTAGTTCTGCTATGCTCTGAGGCCTGGGGAGAAAACTGACAAGTGGGCTCACTATTTTATTATCCTCCCATCCTTTCCTTTTGTTGTTTCTGCACTGTTGTGGAGTCACTTTGCTGTGACTTAGATTCCTCTTTCTGTTTCCACTGCCACTATTTTGGATTTACGCTTGTACAGCTTAAAGGAGTGAACTGGCATCTGATTTGTCAAACGGGGAATTCTTGCCTAGGTTGTTGTTAACTTGCCTCTCCCAGCCTGAGGTGGCCAATGTCTGGGTGGAGAGGATCCGAGAAAACCCTTCTGTCTACGACTGTCTTTGCTTTATCATGTCCAGCTCTACAAATGGTAAGTTGCCAAAACAAGCTGGGATTTACTGGGTGTTTGCAGAAGAAAAATAAGCGAAGTTTGCAATTTCAAAGACAAATATTTTCAGTTGGGTTAATTTCTTTAAAATAAAGGAAACCTCATGAGTTTAAAGGACACCAAAACAAACATGCCCTGCCTTTGCAGGTTTATAAATATATATAAAACCAGCCAGAAAAGCACTCATAGAGGAAGAAGAAACCTCTGGGGGGGAATAAAAATATGTTTAAATTGAAGAAATTGTTATTTGCCACGATAAAAGAAAGGACATAGTCCTCATTTAGGGATATACATATGTAATTTTTGAACCTTGAAACAAGACCTCATTTAATTTATTTTTTCAAGTCAGATACGGATTTTCTATTTTTAAAGCTACTGTATCTGTGGAATGTGAACTGGAGGAACAGTTCAGTTACCCTGGCAGCTGAATACTGTGCAGGCTTTGGGTATGCAGACATGCTACACAAATCTCTCTTAGCACTAATTTAGCAAAAACCACACCAACCACCTAAAAATGGAAATATTTTGAATAGCATTTTTGTTTAACATCCAACTCAGCTGTAACAGCAGTTGTCATTTGTCAAGGAATCCTAATAATACAGCTTTTTCAAATTTTTAATCAATTTTTAAATGCCAATTCTCACAAATCCTGC